TTATATTTCAATCATTTCCGCCTAAAAAGAATGCATGTTATACTTATTCAGTTATTCATAATATAACTTCTAATCAATAGTCATATAAGACTGATGATGAAATTTGCCTCAAAAAAGACAGACATATGATCATATGTGGTGTTTTTCCCTTCTACTAAATGTGTAATGAAAAGTTTGACTCAATTGACATGTTCTGCTGAAATTATGGCATGTTGAGCTAAATCTATTTTTATTTAGTAGAATACAAAAAACTCAACCTGAAAATAAAGGTACAATAACATTTTGTACTGTAAGAGAAGAGCCACTACTTCAAGTGGCGGCTTTTCTTTAACACGATTAACCCAACAATATTTTGGAAATTATTTGTAACCCAACAGTATTTTGGGAATTATTTATTTAATTAGCATTATTCCGGGAAAAAACTCCTACTTTCTTCCTATTACAAACTGATCCAGGGAGTATCAAATAATTGTTTGGGATGACTTATTTTTGGAACACGTACTCTTTAAAGTACTTTAAATTTAAGGATTTTGTCTTTGGGAGGAAATAGAAAACGTGGTTTTACTTCCCTTTTTTCTTATACAAGAAAGCACCAGTTAGTAATATGCACTTCTTATAAAAGCACTTATAGGATAGCACATGTGATCCCAAAGAAGATCTATGGTAATATGGTAAAACTAAAAGAGGTCGATAATCAGAACAAATCTTCTACCAAACGGGCACTTAGAATATACATTCAAAGTTTAGTAAAACTCGCCTATTGAGCTGCATCTTCAGAAAACCGAGCATCAAACGGAGCAGAAGTGTGAGTGTGGGATGAGGCACCAGCTGTCCCAGAACCTTGCTGAAGTTCAATCACTAACCATCTGACAGCTTTACTCATCTGCTCCAACCGAACAGCACTGATGGGCTGTACACCACCTAAAGCAGCTGGCTGCCCAGAAAGAGAACCAGTTGCCTCATCCACCAAACATTCAGACCCAATTCTTTGCTTCAAAGACTCCACAAATTCCTCTGCCTGATCACATGCAACTCTGAACAACTCCCAACGTTGCTTGAAGTTTTCTAGAGCAGCATCAGTCACCCCAGTTTTCAGACCACCAGAGCTCTCCTTTGACTCAAGTACATTGGCTGCTGCTGCAACAAATTCTAGGTATGCGTTGTTTAAAGAATCCACAAGATTGTCCATCAAAAAGAGCCTTCCTGAATACAACCCCACCAATGAAATTCGGTTGAAATACAACAGACGCAGTAAAAATGCATTTTTGTAGGATCATTGATGTGCTGAAAATTTGATAAGACACATATAATATCAATTCATACCGCTCAAGAAAATGATAGTGAATGGATGATTTAGAACATAAGAGTAAGTGAGAAAGGTGCTAATTCTGTTCCATGCTGCCAACTACATTCCTATTTCAAGCTTTTGACTTTTGAACCTAACATAATGTATTTTTATTTTATCTTCTTGAGTTCCAGATTTGATATGCTTGAAATGACTAGAACTCTCAAATTTGTAATTCTTTTACTTTTGAACTTTGATTTTTATAAGAGATAAAACTATGATAAATTCAAAGAACCGAAATATAACTTTAGGATACATAAGTTTGTGTGTATGTGTAGTTTAGATTAGAATCTTTTAATGTATGACATACATAATATATATATATAAAGATGTATATCCCCTTTATATGTTTTACTATACCATATAGAATGTATAGCAGTGCAAAACTACAAATCCCAAACTTATCTTTCTTAGATTTCCGGTGTTGCCTTCCAAAGTGAGATTGAAGTCTCTAAAAACCTCTGTTTTGTTAAAAATCTACGAAAGCATTTCAACTTAAATCAACATCACAAATAAAACCCATGTAGTGATTTAAGACAACAATTAGAGTGATTATTCAAGTGTAATACAAGGAATCTCAAATAAGTTTCAAGAATTACTCGGTCAAAACTCAAAACAGAGGTTGTTATCTAGGGTTGGGTTAGATTTTTCCAGATGTGGGTTCAAAGCTGTGGACATTCAGTTTTTAAATATAGTTTATATACAGCTTTTAAATTGAATAATCATAACTTAATCTATAAAATCTTCATTAAATTTAAACCATTTCAAAATATTTGTCTATCAATAAATCCAGAATAACAGCGGAATTAAGATTACCTTAGTTGACTTCAAACTTTTTTAAAGCGAAAAGCGTCCAAAAGCGATGACCCCGAGCTTTGCTTCAAAGCGAAAGCGCTTATCGAAGCGAAGCTTTCTCACAAAAAGCGATGATTAAAAAAAATTAAAGAAAATATAATATATAATGAATACTTATGTCATAAATGCATAAGTAGTCATAAAAGTCATTCAAAAAAATACTAGAGCAGCATAAAGTTTCAAAACATTCATCACACAATCACACAAAAACACATAATTAATCATAAAAGTCATAAAGGAAATACTAGTGTGGCATAAAGATAAAAACATTAATCACACAATGTCATAGTTTCATTAAAACACACACTGACACACTGAATAACACAAAATCAAAAACAAATCAATCATAAAAATCAAAGTGAATTTAATACAAGAAGAAACTGAAAATACAGAGTACAGGACAATAAAAAAAACACAAAATTAAAACTAATCAACCAAAAAAATTCAAAGGGAAGAATATACAACTGTGGCTTAAAGACACGTTAAAAGTGAAAGAGTAAACAAATCAACCACAATAAAAAAAACAGAGTACATATGCCACAAAGACTGGACATAAAATAAAATTGAATAAAAACCTGTAGAAAAGCATTGATATCATCGTTGATCATTCAGCAGTAAAAACAAATTCTACCTCAGCAGTAAAAACGAAGATTGAATAAAAACTTGGAGGAGTAAAACGAAGACTACCTCAGCACTTCAACAGTATTCGATCGACAAGGAATACCTGGAGGATCTTCTGGTTGTCGCAGGCTAGCAGCTCTGGAGAGGTCTTCTGGTTGTCGGCTTCAGAGAGAGAAGAACGAACGATGAACGATCACAGCTTTCTGGTTGTCGCAGCTCTGTAGATGAACGATCGATTTGTCCTGCTAAACGGACTCAACCCTAGTAATCGTAATGGCAGAGCGCAGACAACAAAAAAAAAAAAATCTTTGACTGGTCAATCGCTTACGGGATAAAGCGACCGCTTCATTGAAGCATCGCTTACGGGAAAAGCGGAAGAAAGCGCCCGCTTTCTCACAAGGTCGCTCTACACTTTTTAATGCTTTTTCTGGCTTTTGATAAGTCTGGTTGACCTCACCTCTTTGTGCCCCAAACTGTTCTTAATATCCCGCATTAAACAAGTACAAGTTAGATAAAAAAAGATAATTTATACATTTGAACAAGGATCATAAACTTATTAATTATGTTAATCAACACAATTACCAGAACAGGTGTAAATGTCTGTTTATAGCATTCAGATATCTTTATATCTTTATCTTTATGTAATATAAAGTAACAGATTGGGGCAACGATTGGAGGGAAAATCCCGCCCAAGAATAAGGGCATAAAAATGGAAATAATTGTAGAATGTAAAAGTAATCATTGTAGAATGTAACAGTAAAATCCCGCCCATGAGAGGGCATAATACACGTATGAATGTATGGTACGAAAAGATGGAGAATTTATTGCCCATAAATCCTTATAAAAAATGTGTGTAAACCATTTGCAATTGTGGTAATCTGCCAACCTGCCATAAGAAAGTTCTCCGTCACTAAATAAAAAATTTCGGTCACTAATTGTATTGTCCAATTACACACCCCGATATTGTCCAGCTGAGCTGAGGGGTCTTAACAGGTAGGGATACAAGGACAAGAAGAAATGGGAGAGGTTGAAGAGATGATATGCCAATCAGGTTTGCAAAGATAAGTTCTATTAGTAATACAGTCTAGTTTATCCATTGTCCATTCTATTTGAGATGAGAAGATACACTCCGAAGTCCATACCTTTTTTTCAAGATAGAAAGAATAGAAAATTCCTTAAATAGGACTAAAAAGGATCACCATTATTTTCTTCCTAAAATAGGATTCACTCACTCCTAATTGGGGATGTTTTATAAATTCAAGTCCCATTTTGGGAATAAAACATAATTAAACCTTTTTATGCACTTTGTCTAATTCTTGGTCCTATTTAGAACCATTTGTTTAGAAAGAAATATAGAAGGTGCTGTTTTTTTTTTTGCAACCATACATGTTTTGTACTTTTGTCATGTAAAAATTCCTCCAAATTATAGCTTGATAAGAACCTTCTTTGGTTCATAAAAAAAACAAAAAAAATGTTAAAGCAATTGTCACACACCAAAAAGCTATATATAAAACAATTAAACACTATATAAGGCTTTGGGTTACTCCTCCTATCAGATTGACCTTTTAGGATTGAACCCTAGGTCCTAACATGGTATCAGAACCAATTCCGATTGTAGTTTGACAGCTTGTTTAACACCCAAGATTAAGTGTAACACCATCCCCAAGTGTATTTACTTTTAAGTGAATATGGTATTTTAACCTTATTGAAAAGGTTAACGAATTTATGATGTCCCGAATTTTATTAATTCTTTCGCACGAATAGTAAATTCGCACGTGGGGCCCGCACCGGGAGCGGGGGCCGCCCGATATTCCCGGGGCCACATAAATTATTCATCTTGGTCTAGATAATAATTATATGGTGGTGGATAACCCATTTGAGCCATGGAAAGATCCAGAGTTGACCGATTGGTCAAAAGAGGCCCAAATACCGGTATTGGCAATTTAACCGATAAAAGCCCGAAATTGAATTTCGGGGACTTATAAATTAAAGTTGGGGAATGAATATTCATTATAAGGGTCACAATGATGGAGAACACATAATATATTTTAATTGACCCGATAAAATAAAATATATTTAAAACAGTCCGAAAAATACAACTTTCGGGACCGATTGTACACTTCGGAGCATATTGGGATGGCCTCCCACAAGGGTGGGGGCCACCCCACGAAATTAGCAGCCAAGGGGGGGCTGATTGGCTCCAATGGTTGTAAGAGTCTTCAGGTGATGGAGGAAACATGTTTGACATGGAAGTTGGCCCATCTCACCCATAATTGCAAAAGAAACAAAAAGAAACCCATCCCCTCTTTCCCTCTCTCACCCACTCGACCACCATCATCCAAGGAAGAGAAAACCTCCCAGAAATATACCTCCTCCATAGCCAAACTCGTGCTGCAACTCAACAAGGAAGAAGAAGGAAGTTTGAGGAAGAAAAGGGGGTGGAAAAGTGTGTTGATTGAGGTAATGACCTTATACAAATTTTTCTTTGTTCATTAACAACCATATGGCTTACATGGCATGTGAGGAACCCTTATAGTAGCTCTAAATTCTTAAGAATGTAGAAGGAGGGGTTGAGAGGAAGTTCCAAGTCCAAGAACGGACATAGGAGCCATAATAACCGGTTTACCGGAAAATAACCTTTTAGAGGTTATTTGTATTGATTAAGGTTTTATGATGTTAAAACCTTGTTAGGAACTTGATTAAAGTGTTTTTGAGCCTCGCCGGAGTTTCGCCGGAGTTGGTCAAAGTTCGCCGGAGTTGGTCAAAGTTCACCGGAAATTAGCCAAAGTTCAACCGGGGAGCGTAGAACGCGCATGAGCTCACTTAAGGTGAGGATGACTGACTATATTGTTTATAATTATTGGGTTAATTTCATAAGATTGCCTAAATGAATTATATGTGTTTGGCATGATTTAATTATGATTAAAAAGGCCTAAATGGAATATAGTATCGTTTATAAGAGAAAATGCATAATATACAAAGTTATGAATAAATTGTGTATGATTATGTGTTGTGATTATGATGGCCCAATTGTTGTATAAATTACAAATTATATTGTGATAAATATACTTTTACCTCATGGAGGGAATAAAAGTGATATTTTGATATTGAGTCAAGTTATACTTGAATGTGGAATTGAATTGAAATGTACGAATCATTATGAAATTGAATTGGTTTATTAAGATTAAACGACTAGTATTGAAAGACTAGTCGGGGATGTTAGTTCAATAGTGTTTGGGAGCTAATCCCAAGATATTGAAGCCAAGTAACTTTAAAGGATAATTAAGGTGGACTTTATGAAGTCAAGTTATATTAGGAGTAGACCTCAAGGGTTACTCAAAAGGAATGGAGCCTAGACTAAGAAGTGGTTTAGGGATTAGATGACGTGACTACGAGCCGAGCTCTAGCACGTGGTAGTATGAATATGAGCCGAGCTCTAGCAAAAATGTAGGAATGACTATGAGCCGAGCTCTAGCAAAATGTAGTGTGACTATGAGCCGAGCTCTAGCACAAATTAGTATGACTATGAGCCGAGCTCTAGCAAAAATGTGGTGTGACTATGAGCCGAGCTCTAGCACAAATTAGTATGACTATGAGCCGAGCTCTAGCATGAAGGAACGTGAATTAATTACAAAGTAATAACAGCCTAAGTTGAGGGTCTTGGAAATTGAAACTTTGATTATACTTAGTATAGTTGTCATTGTACTTGTCAAATGCTTCCAAGTACTGACCTCCCCTTCACGGGGGAGGCCACCTCACAGTTTCAGGTCGGGATTAAAGCTTGCTGTTACCGCCCGTTTGCTTCGGAGAAATCAAAAGGAAGAAGACGTGGTTCTTGCTTCTTCTGTTTCTGTTTTGAAAACAATTTAAATAATGCTCATGGATATTCTTGTAAATATTTATTTAGGGCTTGTATGCCCATGTTGCCAAAGTGTGGCATGCACATTTGTACTAAACAATTCCGCTGTTTTAAATGATTATTTTTACATTATGTTGTTTATGGATGTACTATGTGTGAATGGTATTCAAGACGCCTAGTATAGTATGGATGAGTTGGACTGCGGATGACTATTCGTACTGTACGGCGGGTTGTTGACGTGTCCGGTAGGTCCGGGGCGTGACATTAAGGGTATCTTGTTAAGGGTTTGTTTGGCCCGTTTATACACCCCGATATTGTCCAGCCCGGTTCGGGCTGAGGGGCGTGTTAAAGCAATTGTCTCACACCGAAAAACTATAAAACAATTGAACACTATATAAGGCTTTGGGTTATTCCTCTTATCAGGTTGACCTTCTAGGATGGAACCTCAGGTCTTAACAGAAACAAAAGACATCCATAATTTATTCGTGTCCACTTTTAAAGTTGACATACATATAATGCATGTTATATGGGGGTGGAACTGTATTTGCAAGTAGTAACCGAACAGACAAAATGTTAAATGTTCACACACATATACTCCCTCTGTCTCATTTTATCTATCCTACTTTTCTTTTTGGATGGTCTCAAAATAAGTGTCACATTTTCTCTTTTGGAAAGTGTAGGTTTTAGGAATTAATCTTCCTTGAATATATTGAGCCATACAGCCTGAATATATATACAGAGTACAGTAAACAAACTCCCTATGCAGATCCTAAAAAATAGGATCTATACAACAGCAATACTTATCTACTAATAACTGCAGTCTAATCTACTTTGAAATCTTATCTACAGCTACACACGTACACTATCTAATAATAACAATTAAATGTAACATTTTCTACACTCCCCCTCAAGTTGGTGAATATATATCATACATTCCCAACTTGCTTATAAGTAGTTCAAACACTGGTCTGAACAATCCCTTTGTGAAGATATTAGCTGTTTGTTCTTTAGTAGGTATGAATGGGATGCACACAATTCCAGCTTCAATCTTTTCCTTGATAAAATGTCTGTCCACTTCAATATGTTTAGTACGATCATGTAGCACAGGATTATGAGCAATACTAATGGCTGCCTTGTTATCACAATACAACTTCATAGGTAGATCCATCTGCATATTTAACTCTGAAAGCACTCTCTTGATCCAAAGCAGTTCACAAATTCCATTAGCCATAGACCTGTATTCAGATTCTGCACTACTTCTAGCAACTACATTCTGTTTCTTACTTCTCCAAGTCACCAGATTTCCCCACACATAGGTGCAATATCCAGAAGTAGATCTTCTATCATTAATTGAGCCAGCATAGTCTGCATCTGTAAAGGCCTCAACAGTTCTACTGTTGCCCTTTTTAAAAAATAATCCTTTCCCTGGACAACTTTTCTGATACCTCAGAATCCTGTAGGTTGCATCAAGATGTTCTTGGACTGGATTGTGCATAAACTGGCTAACCAAACTAACTGCAAATGCAATGTCTGGCCTGGTATGGGACAAGTATATCAATCTTCCCACCAATCTTTGATATTGTTGAGTATTGACTGGAACTCCCTCTTTGAAATCTCCCAACTTCTGATTAGGGTCAATAGGAGTGTCAGCTGGTTTGCATGCACTCATCCCTGTATCTTGAAGAAGATCCAGAACATACTTCCTTTGGGATACAACAATTCCCTCTTTTGATCTAGCAATCTCCATGCCAAGAAAGTATTTCAACTCTCCAAGATCTTTGACCTCAAATTCAGAAGCAAGTTTCTCCTTCAGGCTTTGTGTTTCTCTATAAAAATCTCATGTAATGATAATATCATCTACATAGACAATTAATATAGCAATCTCCCCCTTACTTGAGCATTTTATAAATAAAGTATGATCAGCTTGAGCTTGTTTATATCCTTGTTTTTTAACAAACTGTGTGAACCTATCAAACCAAGCCCTTGGGGACTGTTTGAGTCCATACAATGATTTCTCTAGCTTACATATTCTTGAACCAAACCTGCTTTCAAATCCAGGAGGAGGATTCATGTAAACTTCTTTTTCAAGTTTCCCATTTAAAAAAGCATTCTTCACATCCAACTGTTGAAGAGGCCAGTCTAAATTAGCAGCAAGAGATAGAAGAATTCTGATAGTATTCAACTTTGCAACCGGTGCAAAGGTCTCAGTATAGTCTATGCCATAGGTTTGTGTATAACCTTTGGCAACTAATCTTGCCTTATACCTCTCAAGAGTGCCATCTGCCTTGAACTTAGGAGTGAAAATCCATCTACATCCAACTGTGGGCTTGTTTTTAGGTAGCTCTACAATCTTCCATGTCTGATTCTTTTCAAGAGCATCCATCTCTTCCAAAACAGCTTTCTTCCACTCGGGTTTAGATAGAGCTTCCTGTATGGTTGATGGGATAGAAATAGAAGAGACAATAGAAGAAAAGGTTGCAAATGTAGAGGATAATCTAGAATAGGAAACATGGTTTGAAATAAGATATTTGACACATGACCTTTTCTCCTTTCTGAGAGCAATTGGTAAATCAAGATTACTGAAATTATTACCTTTTCCATTTTCTGTCAATGAGTCAGATTCATGAGCAGTTTCAGGATCAGAGATGTCCTCTATTCTTTGATTTGGAACTCTCCTTTCATAAACCTTGCCAAAAAATTTACTTGTCTGCAGTTCATTTTCTTTCCTTGTTTCAGTTATATTTATTGCATTTTCTTCTATTTCTAGACCATTTTCTGATGCATCTAAGTCTTTAGTATGATGTGCATCTAGATTAATGTCAAGAAATTCAAGATTTTCATGGATATGCAATACACTGTTACCATCTTCACTTGAATTCTCCCCCTGAAGATGAGTACTAAAAAAGGGCTGATTCTCAACAAAACTAGTGTTCATAGTTACAAACATCTTTTTTGTTGTAGGATCAAAACATTTATATCCTTTCTGTGTTGGAGACAGTCCTAAAAAACACATTTTTTACCCCTAGGATCAAGTTTACTTGCAGTTTTGTCAGGGTTGTGAATAAACACTGTGCAACCAAAAATTTTTAAAGGAAGAGAACTGATAATTCTGGTTCTAGGAAAACAGTTCTGAAGTGTATCAATAGGAGTTTTAAATCCTAGAGTTTTTGATGGCATCCTATTAATTAAATAAGTGGCATGTAAAACAGCATCTCCCCATAAATATTTTGGAACTTTTGTTGAAAACATGATTGCACGAGTGACTTCAAGTAAATGCCTATTTTTCCTCTCAGCTATTCCATTCTGAGCAGGTGTGTTTATGCAAGAACTTTGATGAATAATACCTTTTTCAGTAAAAAAAATTGTTCAAATTCTGGGAAAAATACTCTCGGCCATTATCACTTCTTACCATTTTGATATTGGTATTGAATTGAGTTTGAACCATTGAGTAAAATTTTCTGAACACACTTTCAACTTCAGATTTCTCTTTAATCAGAAAAACCCATGTTACTCGTGCATGATCATCTATAATAGTTACAAACCATCTTTGTCCTTTCAAGGTAGAAACTCTAGATGCACCCCAAATATCACTATGCACAAGAGTAAAAGGACTAGTAGGTTTGTAACTGTGAGGGATATAAGAACTCTTATGATGTTTTGCAAGTGCACACATATCACACTGAAATGATGAAGGATTTTTATTATGAAACAACTGAGGAAACAACTTTTTTAAATAGTAGAAACTAGGGTGACCTAGTCTGTAGTCCATTAAATACACTTCATTATTACAAGAAAGAGAAACAGTTTGCAAACAAGCATTTTCTTGACCTTGTTTATTCAATTTAGTTCCTTCATCAAAGATATAAAGTCCATCTTCCTCTCTAGCACTGCCAATCATCTTCCCCGATGCCAGATCCTGAAAAATGCAATAAGAGGGATAAAATTTGACACAACACTGAAGTTCTTTGGTTAATTTGCTAACAGAGGCAAGATTACAGGAAATGTTTGGCACATGTAGGACTTTAGAGAGGTTAATAGATGAGGAAATCCTGACATTTCCCATCCCTGCAATGGCTGAAAAAGAGCCATCTGCAACTTTAACTTTTTTATCCCCTGCACAAGGGTTATATGAGGAGTAGAATTTTGAAATAGAGGTCATATGGTCTGTTGCACCTGAGTCAATGACCCAAGTATTTTTTGGTTTTTTAGAACAAAAATATGATGTTATTTTACCATTTTGGGCAAAAGAACATGAAGGGTTTTCCTGGTTAGGGCTCTTTTTGGTATTTAGAAGCTGTAGGAGTTGTTCTATCTGTTCCCTTGTGAAGAAGGGCTGCTTGGAAGTGTCTGGTTGTTCCTGTCCAGTTTCAGGCATGGTAGTGTGTAGGGCTTTGTCAAATTTTTTCTGTCCTGACCCTGGTGGTTTTCCATGAATCTTCCAACATGTCTCCCTGGTGTGCCACAGTTTCTTGCAATGATCACACCAGGGCTTCTTCTTCTCATTTCCTTTGGCAATCATTGCTGAGGACTCCCCTGGCTCATCATTGTTATGTACTGGAGTATTGTACATAACCTTCTTCCTATTGTCCTCCATCCTTATCTCAGAAAATACTTCTCTGATTGAGGGTAGAGGTTTCTTTCCAAGGATTCTTCCCTTCACTTCATCCAGATCCCTATTAATTCCTGCTAGGAACATGTAGACCCTATCATTTTCCTCTCTTTTTTTGTGTCTTGCCAGATCTTTGGCACTTTCCCATTCTTCATCATCATAGCATTGATCCAACTCTTGCCATAGAGATACCATCTCATTGTAGTAAGAGATGACATCTCTATTTCCTTGTTTGGACTGCTAGAGAATGGTTTTTAACTCAAAAATTTGAGAAGAATTTTCAAGATCTGAGTAAGTCTCTTTTATGGAGTCCCAGACCTCCTTTGCTGTCTTCATAAACATATGAGGCTTTGCAATTGAGGCCTCCATGGAGCTAAGGAGCCAGGCTGTGATAAGTGAGTTTTCTGACTTCCATGTGGTGTAGCCTTCCTCTCCAGGAATTTTTGGTTTGATTTCTCCTGTGAGGTATCCCAGTTTTCCCCTCCCATCAATTGCGAGCTTGACAGATTGAGACCACTCCAAATAGTTTT